GCCTGTTCCATTCTCTGTTCCCAGCAACCATGGATGAGGGATCTGGTTTCTCCACATCCTCACCAGCATTTAGTGTTGTCACTACTTTTTATTTTAGCAATGCTGATACACAGGTAGTGATCTCTCACTGTGGTCTTAACTCGCGTTTCCCTAATGGCTAGTGATGTTGGACATACTTACGTGAAGACATGAAGTTTACAATTGGCTTCAGAGTTTCTTTTGGCAAATCATGTTACTCTTTCCAAGCCTCAATTTTCTCATCTGTAAAATGAGAGGATTTAACTAAACGATCCCTAAACAATCCTCCAGCTCTAAAATTCTACCTTGGGTGAGTTTGTTTGCAAGGTGAGGTGCTTTTAATTTTCCTGTTGTGCATCAGCTCTTCTCATCTGCCAAGAATTAACAAGCAACGAATCTCATCCACGGTTCTCACTGACATTTCCAGAAACGTGTGTGACAACTCCCTACGGCTTCATCTGGCCCTCCAGGGCTTCCTTATTCAGCGTTTAAGTTACGCTGTCAAAGGCTGAGCAAAAAACACTCAGACTTTCAAGAATTTATAAGGGGCTTTATCTATCTTCTGATTCTTTGTTAAGTTGTTTTTAGTCCTTTGTTCCCAAGGTTCACTACAGAGCATAGTTTTGATGATACCTTACAGTTTTCATCGAGCATCAACTGAGTGCCTACTGTGTGCAGATAGGGTGGTATAGTGGAAAGGGCATGAGCTGTGTATGCAGAAGGACGTGGGTTTGAATCATGACTCTACCACTTATTGTGACCTGGTCAAAAAACATAACTTATCTGAATTTGAGCGAAACGGAGATAATAACTGCTGACAAAGTGTTACGAGGAATAGCGATAATATATGTAATGTGCCCAGTTCATTGTAAGCACTCAATAAACGGGAGCTATTATTATGTGGGACACGAGGAATAAGTCCCTGAGAAGAGACACAGCATGGGCCACGCCTTGTGCCACAGCAATGTGCTCTCTCTCACACACACACACACACACACTCTCTCTCTCTCTCTCTCTCTCTCTCTCTCTCTCTCTCTCTCTCTCTCTCTCTCTCTTTCTCTCTAATTCCTACATTAACTCTAGGAGACAGTACAAACCTGTTTTTATAAAACCGAGGCTGAGGAGTTAAATAACTCAAGATCACCCTGATACTAAATGAAGAAGATGAAATTCAAACTGTGTCCTTACAGCATTTATAGTCTAGCTGGAGAGATAAGCTGTGCAGAAACAGATAAATACCAACTCAGTAGCCAAGTGGCAGTTGAACAGCCTAGTCAAAAAGCATTTACACGTTTAGAGAGGGAGTTACTTCTGAGGATTGGCCAGCTGGGGAAGGCAAGAGGAAACAGAGGATTAGGACTAACTCTGTCTCGCTAAATATCCTTGAGTTCCTAGATGTCACCATCACTAATGCTTGTTGGTCCTGGGAGCCCAGCCCAGCTGCTCTGGGGATGGAGACAGCTCTCAGCCATCTCAGCCTTCCCTCTTCCTCCTCCCTTCCACTAATGGGTTATTTATATGCAGGCCCTCCCATTTCATTCTAAAGTTTGATCCAACCTGTGTTGTTCAGCATTACCACAAAAGGTCACTGTCAGAATTGTATTTCTTCTGCTAACACAAAACCCAGGGTCTAGTTTATAGAAATACGTTCTAAATAACCTCCCTTAAAATCATTTTCTACCATGTGAGCTTGATATGTTTACAAGCATATGTCTGGGCCATTTTTGCACTTGGTAATTTTCAAAATATCTCTTGGGCTCTATTGCCTATAGTCTGGCTCACAGTAGGTATTACTGAAAGTCACTGTGTCAATACGTGTGTATACTGAGTGCCTCCCGTGTGCCAGGCAGTGGAGTCTTAGGCCTCATGGAACATACATTGTATGAATGGCTGATTAACTAAAGAAGGCCATAAGAATTTAACTTGAATATCAATATCCATGGCAGATTATTAGCAAACAAACTCTGTGTCTTTAATGGCAATACAGTGACACACAAACTACTAATTCCTTCTGGCAGGGGACAATCCTTGAACATTTCATTACTGGGCCTATACACACATCATCGTGGAGACTGATGATAAATCTCTGAAATTCGATCTGAATTTCAGTGCAAAAGCCTACATTGGGCTAGAGGAGCTTGTCTATTGTCTTCAACGATCCTCGGGGATCAATGACTAATTCAGTCTTTTACAAGTAAGGTGGAGGGCAGCCCAAATACTCAGCCTCAGGAGGTCACATCTGGTTGGGCAACTTCCTGTGTGTGTAATGTAAACATCATGTATTTGTAGCAGTTTTGTGAGTAACAGACAGAGTGCAGGCTTCCAGGTCTCTTCAAGTACCTCAAGGGGTTGTATTCAGCAGCTGATGAGACTCCAAATGTTGTACTTTTTATTATCCCAGCCCTCCAAATTTCCCCAGAATTGTCAACTTGTAGAGTTTGTGTCTTCTCGATGTGTTCCCAGAATTCTTTATTTATGCTACTGTCGCTGCTCAGAAAAAAAAAATAAGAGCTTTCACTCAGTTCAGGTGACAGATTCACCTTAGATCCACGCTGACACCTTGAAAAGTCAAAAAAAAAAAAAAAAAGCAAAGACTGCTTTAGCTTGAGGTTGAATGTCTCATTTCTTTCTTGGTTTCACTTCCTTTTCCACTCTGGTGGCTTCCCATTTGGGTTGGTAGCCTCCTGTTCCCTGAATTTATTTTCCATTTGAGAAGCTGTTTTCTCAGAAGCTGTTTTTCTCCTCGGTTGTTCCTCCTCTCTGGACCTGTTTTGCTTCTTCAGAGGTCTGGCTGCTGCCACGACACTTGCCTCAGACCCGGTCTCGGCTTGCCAGGGCTTCAGGCCAACCCAGCCTCCCAGCTGCTGCTCAGCCCCTCAGCTCCAACTGTCCAGCTCCGACCAGCTCAGAACTTTCTGATCCCAAACATTCTCTCACACCCAACCCCTGCCAAGGGACAAACGCAGAAGCTCCTGCCTGGTGGGTTCAGCTAACACTGAATTCAGGGAAAAAGGTGGGGAGGAAACACATATGATCAGGCCTCCTCGGAAGTAGCAGTTTCACGTATTTCCTAGGTTACTGACAAGAATTGATGAAATTTGTATTTCAAGAACTTTCATTAACTAAATACCCAAGTGACAACAGAAGGGGAAAAAATCAGATGATATAACAGCCCTACAGGCCTTAAGAATAAAAGGACAGATATCAGATTTCAGACAGTTGGGCCCCCAAGATGACTGAGAGCTCATTTCTCAGCGCCTCTTCTCAGTCTTCAAGACAAACGGTGCCTCTTGTAAGAACCTCTGAATTCTGTCCTTGTCCCTCACATGGGTGGGGGAGGAGGGGTGTGGTTAGGATGTTTGGGATCCCTGATTTCATAAACAAGGCAATGACAAGATAAAGTATTAAATAAAGAATGTTAATGCTACAGAAACCTTTGAAGAATTCAGACAAGTCCTTGGGATGTTCATCCTGGGCCCCTGGAATGTCATATGATCCCGAATAGGATATTTCCCCTCTATGATTTCAGCTGTAAGATGACACTGTTCTTTTGCACCAGTGCATGAGGACTAGCTAATTAAAATACTGTACTGGTTCATTCAAGAAGCATTTACTGGGTTCCTACTACATACAAGGGATTGTGCAAACAGACTGTGTAATCTGACATAAAAATTTAAAAATAGATTGCCATAAATAAACTCCATGATAGGATTATGTAAAACCTTTCAGATAATTTTAGCTGTTTGGGTATATAAACAGGGCTTCTAGTTCTATGGTTTTGAATGAATTGACCTGTGTTTTCCCACTATCACCCCTCCTTTCCAAATCAATTCATTCATCTTAGTCTACAGCCAATTTCTATCTATGCTCTAGAGCTACCATGTCATGTGCCCTGCAGACCAAGGGGGAAAACAGGGCAGCAATCTACTTTATGGTCTGCTGGCTAAGCCATGTGACCTGACCTAAGTCAATGTCCACCCAGAAGAAGGGAACAATTTTCTAATTTACACAAATGTCCCATCTGGGTGAGCTGTGGCCCTGCTCATGTCCCCAGCTGGTTCACAAGCCAGGAGTAGAATAAATGGACACAGTTTATTGTAATCAAACAAGATTTACAACAAAGATACATTTAATTCCATAGATGGTGTTTCTTGCTCTGAGGTAAGTCACTCCTGTAAGTGGCCCTATTTGGTGTTTAACTCATCCAAGCCAACTGTGGGGAAGCAAGAAGGAGCTTGCTGGGGAAGGAGACAACAGTGCAAGCCTTGCTGAGGTCCCCTGGAATCACAGCATGGGCTCCCACTGGTCTGAGTGTTTCTGGACATCTTATTTCCAGTCAAGTCTAGGGTCCTGGGCTCTGAGCTCAGATTTAACTTAGGGAAGACATCAGCACCTGCCCTCTGGTAGAAGCTGACCTTCTGATTGAGAATCAAAGATGGCAGGCAATCAAGAGGTAAATGGGGCCGGCCGAGTGGCGCGATGGTTAAGAACTCGCTTGGGATGCCAGAGGGCCCCGGTTCGGATCCCACATATGAGGACCAGTGACACTGCCCT